GGATGTGGGCTGGGGAAGCCCGGTGGGGCCTCGGGAGAGCCTCCGGGGTGGGGGGCTGAGGAGGGGGAGCCATGTCTGTGACACAGAAGTGACATGTTAGGGGTCACCCAGGCAGAGGGTCAGGGTTCGTTCACACCAGACTCTGCTCCTCTTTTGGGGTTCCCGAAAGTGAAAAATATTCACCAAAAAAGACACCAAAGAGTGTTCTGCAGGAAAGGCTGGTGGGGGGGAAGAACCAGAAGTTTATTTTTATTTACTTTTTAGATTTATTCTTTGAGGAAGGGAGGTGCAGAGAGAGAAAGAGAGAGGATATCCAGCAGGCCCCACGCTGAGCGTGGAGCCTGACGTGGGGCTCATGCCTTGAGCCCAAGATCATGACCTAAGCTGAAACAGAGAGCCAGCTGCTCAACAGACCAAGCCACGCAGGCGCCCTGAAGTAACAGGAGTTTAGAGGGAAATATTGACCTACGTGATGCTAACTTCAGATGTTAAATATGAAACCTCACCTGCATATCGTGATTATGTTTGGAGCTTTTAGAGAGAGAAAAAAAAAACCTTTCCGTTCATCTATTCTTACTCTCAGATGTTCGGGGAGAGCCCAGAAAAGACCTCAGGAAAAAATTCTTTTACTTTTTCTTTTTTTTTTTCTTCTGAATTTTCCTTTCTTTTTTCTTTTTTTCTCTCTCTTTCTTTCTTTCTTTTTTTTTTTTTCTGGGCCCTTTCTTTCCTCCCTGAGGCAATCAGGAAGCTGAGGAATCATCTGGAACATGCCAGATCATCATCACCTTCATGGCAAGACAGGCGTTTGTCCCTCCCAGGCCTGCTCTTGCCGCCCCAGCCAGCCTTCCCCTGCTTGGGTCAGATTCTGGACTATGTGCCCAGTGAGGCCCAGGCGGGAGGCCCGGCATTAGATGGGTTCCTGGGTGGTTCCAGGCAGAAGCCCTCGCATCCAGGGATAGTCCCACAGAACAAACCTGGCCTGGGAGAAGGCCGGAATCGTGGGAGAGCTGTATGGAGCCCCATGCCCATGCAGAGGGAGAGCCGACTCTCAAAGCCCAGCCAGCTTGCATGTCCAACACAGCCATGTTGTGCAGAGCGACAGAACCGGGCCATTGCACGATCCAAGGAATCCAGGAATCCTGCACCGAGAGGACCCAGTGAGCTGGAAGGCTGGGCTCTCTCCGGGCCCTCTAGGTCAGAGGAGACTCTGGTTCAACTGTCCTGGGTCTTAACGCATACGCACGTGAGCTCAGTGTACAGCCAACCCTTGAACAACGTGGGGGTTGGGGTGCCATCGAAAATCTGCATAGGACTTTCAACTCCCCCCAAACCTCACTACTTGACCAGAAGAAGCCCCACCGATCACCTAACCCGTTGATTAACACATAGTTTTCATGTTCTACATGTTGTATGTTGTATTCCTACAACGAAGTAAGCTAGAAAAAAGAAAATGGCATTAAGAACAGCATAAGGAAGGGGCGCCTGGGTGGCTCTGTCCGTGGAGCATCTGACTCTTGATTTCTGCTCAGGTCATGGTCTCTAGTTCATGGGATCGAGCCCCGTGTAGGGCTCTGAGCTCAGTGGTGAGTCAGCTTCTCCCTCTCTGCCTGCCCCCCCACTTGTGCTATCTCTCTTTAAATAAATAAATCTTAAAAAAAAAAAAGATCATAAGGAAGAGAAAATACACAGCCAGAATCTTAATAAATAAATAAATCTTTAAAAAAAAAAAAGATTGTAAGGAAGGGAAATTATAGCCCAGGACTATATCTATTGGAAAAAAAAAATCTGTGTGTAATTGGACCTGTGCAGTTCAGATCAGTGGGGTTCAAAGGTACTTGCCTTCTTGTACGGCATTCAGACCATTAGTGCTCCCGGCATGCCAACGTATCTCTGAGAGAGAAAAGTCTTTACCCGAAGCTACTAGAACACTGTGTGTTAATTACCCTGTAATTCGAACCAAACCAAACCTCATTTTAACATGCCCTAGTTTAAAGAAAAAAATTCTTTGCAAAACTCTAAAATTCCCAGCAATACAGGTTGGTAAAGGGTATGGGTATCTTCCGCCTTACAAAGCCTGAGGGGAAGAGGGCAGATTTAGACAGCTTTAGAAGTAGGCTTCCCTCCTACGGGTCAGAAGAGGTGATTTTGCTGTTATCCCGCTTTTGTAGCCCACCCTGAGCCCACAGACTCAAGACCAGACCCCCCCCACCAACCACATCCCTGCGGGCCTGCCCTCCCTCCCACTAGCTAATGAGCCCCTGGTACAAAGCGTCTCAATCCACATTCGTGTTTTTCTTCTGGCCACTAGCTAATTGCCCAATTATTTTATTTCCCCAGCAAAACTTCAGTCGGCCTGGAATCCACATTCAGGACTAAAAGCCTGTGTCCAGGGAGTCAGGGGATTTGTCCTCTGTCTGTCTGCTTCTCCTCTGTGGTCCCCAGCTCGTCTGGGGTTGGGGGGTGGGGGTTCACCCTGCCCACTTCAGAGGTCGGCCAGGACCGTGTCCCGGAAAGAGCTTCGGGGTGTGGAAGGAATCCTGGCCTAGGAATCCAGGCCTGGCTTTCTGCTGGCAGCCGTTGGAAACTGGGAGCTGGGGCAAGGAGTCGCCTCTCTGAGCCTCAATTTTCTTGGCTTTAGAAATGGGTGGGGTGGGGGTGGGGCAGGCGCTGCGGCCCTCAGCTTTCTGAGTCAATAGAGTAGCTTCGAGCAGGAGCAGGGGGCCTCTTGGCTGGGCAAACCCTCTGGGATGCCAAATGCTGCCAGGCTCTCCTGGGGGAGGACCCCAGGATCTAGAAGCATTTTGGGGGGCCCCCTGAGCACCGGGTTCCAGAATCCCATTCCTCAGTCAGAAATGCTGGGTGTTGACTGGTAGTTCTAGTCCCCACTGAGACCAAAGCTGTAGACCCATCTCTGTGCTTGGAGACCCACCCCCGGGCCGAGGGACAGGCCTTGGGGAGGAAGAGAACCCAGCAGAGGACTGTCTTTCCCATTTACTTTCTTCTTGGAAAAATGAAGTTTCAGTATAACTGGTTGGCAATCCCAGGTGCAAAACGGGCTCAGGCCACTGAGGATTCCCAGGGGTTCTCAGCCCAGAGGTGTCTCCTAGGCGGGGGAAGAGCCTCGTGTCCCCATGCCCACTCGGCCTGGGAGCAGCAGCACTGGGGCCTGACCTCCCCCAGCCCTGGGACAGCCAGTCCCTGTTGCAACCAACACGGGGGGCCACACGGCCTCATTGTGAACTTCTAGGCCCAGGGGCTCCTGAGGCCTAGATGTTGGGGGCCCCGGGAGGGGTCCCTGGCCTGCGAGGGGCAGCCCGGGTGTTACTTCCTTGGCACCGTTGGCCCATGATAAGCCACCGGGCTTCCTCTCTGCAAGTGGCAAGGGTGGCGGACCGCTGCATATTTATGGAACAGCAGCTCAGGATGGCTCAGCCCCAGGCTGCCAGGGACTAAGGGCCACGGGTCCTGGGTTGCCTGCGAATGCGACACTTCTGCACCTTTTGGCTTGACTTAAGGCCCAAATGTTTGCAGCAAGGAAGTCCCTGCTAATCACTTGCAGAGAAAAGCCACACCTTGGCTCCCAGCAGAGGCTGTGCGGCCCAGACAGAGCAGGCGGCAGAGGCTGTGCCGCCCAGAGAGAGCAGGTGGCCCATGGGGCTTCGGGGTGCCGGGGGGTTCAGGCTGCAGGAGAGCTGCAGTGAGCTCTCCGGTGGGTTCTCTGCGCTGCACCTTCCCTGAGCGGTGTTCTGACTTTGCCTCTGAAAGGTGCTTGAGGACACCTGACTCCTCTCCTGTTGCAAACACCTGCTCAGGGCCTGGGACATGGGGAGCACTCAAGGAATGATTGTTCTAGTCGTGGCCATTTTTAGAACAGCCACTGGTAATAACGGGGGGCAACCCTTATTGTGCACTTACTGTATACTGGGCTCTGGGATGCATGTTCTCCGTGTGCTAGTGCGTTTGCTCTCCAGACTAGCCCTGCGAAGGAGACCCGATTATGACCGCAACTCCTTCAGCTGGGGAAACTGAGTCACGAGGGCCTTGAGGAACTTGCTAGAAGGTCCGACAGCCAGCAAGGTGCACAGGTCCCATATGTGCCCCCAGCCAGTCTAAACCCTGTGTTTCAGAGGCCCTGGAAGGCTCCCAAGCCCAGGTGCTCAGTACCTAAGGCTTTGGACAAGACAGGGCTCTGGGCAACTATGGCCTCACTTTCCAGGTCCTGGTCCCTTGACCTGGTCCCCCTGAGTGCCAGTGTGAGCCCGCGGCCAGACTCAGGCCATGGAGTGCTCCCAGAGCAACTGGCACAGCTGACGGGCCTCGGCTGTGGGACTGCGAAGACACTTGCATAGTTGCCCTTCCTGGGACCCCCAGAGAGCCAGGCCTGACGGCAGTGGCTTCCTTCGTCACAGACAGGACTCGGTCTTAGGAGTGCCTGTGGAGAGGAGCAGAAGGGGTCCCACAGGGATGGAGAGTAGGGGAAGATGGGTTGGGGGCTTCTGTGGGCACTTGCTGGATGGGGCCTGGCCCAGAGCAGGCAGGAATGGAGAGTCCTCTCCTTCCTTCCTGACCAACACACAGAGATCCAGACTGGCCTCCAGGAAAGGGATTTCAACAGATGCCTGATAGGATTCTCGTTGATACAGAATAGGCCCACTTTTTCATAGGCTGGGACCAGGGTAGCGCCAGGGAAATTTAAGATTCACTAAAGTCACTCCTGAGCTGCCCAGACAGCCATGGCCAGAGGCCCCAGGCTGGTGTGGCATCCAGACAGGCCTCCCTGCGCGTTCTCCACGGCCCCCTCCTCCAGGCTCCTGGACCTGTCTGGCTGCTCAGCAACCAGGGGGTCCGAGGGGTGTGGCCTCCCTCCCTCCGGGCTCAGCCCCAGGCTGCCTATAAAGCCAGTCTGACCCTGAGCCCAGCCAGCCCGGTCCCTCCTCAAGCCTCCTCCCGGGACAGGTCTGTCTGCTCCGCCGCCACTCCTCCTCCCCGAGCGCCGCCCCATGAGGTCGCTGTGGCTGTGCTGGGCGCTGTGGGCCCTTCCCCTACCGGGCCCCGGGGCCGCCCTGAGCGGGGACCACATCCTCAGCACCCTGCTGCGGCAGCTGCAGCTCCGAGAGGCGCCCGTCCTGGACGCAGGCGACCTGGAGGAGCTGGTCACCCCCGCGCACGTAATGGCCCAGTACGTGGCCCTGTTGCAGCGCAGCCACGGGGTCCGCTCTCGAGGGAAGAGGTTCAGCCAGAGGTTCCGAGGTGAGGACCCCCTGCCGCCGCGCCCCGGTCCCGGCTGGGGGCGGGCGGGGCGAAGATGGGAGGAGCCTGTTCTGGGGACGCCGCGACAGGGACCCCTGGGTGCGAGGACAGCTGCGTCTCGGGGGAAGGGGGTCTCTGTCTGCCCCGAGCGCCCCCGCCGCTCAGGCCCAGGGGGAGCTGCCCCACTGCCAAGGCCGAGGCAAGAGAGGAAGCACCTGGGGTTCGGGGCTCCCCTCTGCTATTTGTCGTCCTGCCCTAGACGAGTCTCCCCACGTCTCTGAGATTGTTGGCTTCCCTGGAAACGGATGTGTGTGTGTGTGTGTGAGAGAGAGAACCGGTTCTGATTCCCTCCCAGAGTGGGGGGCAGCTTGTGAGATGAGAGGAAAGGGCTGATTCCATCATTTTCAAGGTCAACCTGTGGAGAGGTGAATGGCATGGCACCCTCTCAGCTCCGTGGGGCTGGGGCTCCCCTCCTCAGTGCCCAGGGCGGACCCACACCTGCTGCTTTCCAGCTGGGAGGGTGGGTGCCTGGAGACTCGGCAGAGGTGACTACCCTCCCAGTTTTGCTGTGCACCCTTTGCCCAGCTAAGGCTGCATGTGACTCTTGAAGTCAGGATTGTGAGTTTGAGCCCCACACTGGGCATAGAGATTTCTTAAAAATAAAATCTTAGGGGCACTCAGATGGCTCAGTCGGTTGAATATAGCTCCTAATTTTGGCTGTTGTCATCATCTCCAGGTCCTGAGATAGAGCCCTCCTGGGCTCAACACTGGCGGGGAGCCTACTTGAGATCCTTTTTCTCCCTGTGCCCCTCCCCCTGCACCTCCCCTTGAGGGACCCACGTGCACTCCCTCTCTCAATAAAATAAAATATTTTTCAAAACAAACAAAACAGAAAACTGCATGCCTGTGCACCTGAGGCCAAACCCCAGCCCCCACATCGATCCTGCAAATTCCTGGGGACTTCCAGAGAAATGCTATTGGCTGGCCCCAAATCCTGATCCCCTCGCAGCCACCTGGTGCTGGAGAGGCCTCCTGACCCTGTTCCTGTCTCCAGAGGTGGCGGGCAGGTGGTTGGCGTCCGAGGCCTCCACGCACCTGCTGGTGTTCAGCATGGAGCGGCGGCTGCCCCCCAACAGCGAGCTGGTGCGGGCGGTGCTGCGCCTTTTCCAGGAGCCGGTGCCCAGGGCCGCGCTGCGCAGGCACGAGCGACTGTCCCCGCACAGCGCCCGCGCCCGCGTCACCGTCGAGTGGCTGCAGGTCCGCGAAGACAGCTCCAACCGCACCTCGCTGGTGGACTCCAGGTGGGTGTTGCTAACGGGGAGAGGAGGAGGTGTGGAGGTCGCAGCGTGGGCGGGGCATGTAAGGGAGGGGAGTGGAGGGAGGGAAGGGAAGGGAAGTCCTAGCTCGGGGGAGAGGGGGCGGGAGTCCTGGGGCGGAGGGGCTCCAGCGCAGGGGATGCGAGGGGATGCTCCCTGGGGGAAACCCCCAGCGCCCAGCTCAGGCTCCCGTCTCCGTGCTGCCCTGTCGCAGGCTGGTGTCCCTCCACGAGAGCGGCTGGAAGGCCTTCGACGTGACAGAGGCGGTGACCTTCTGGCAGCAGCTGAGACGGCCTCGCCAGCCTCTGCTCCTGCAGGTGACGGTGCACAGGGAGCACCTGGGCCCGCTGGCCTCGGGCGCCCACAAGCTGGTGCGCTTCGCCTCCCAGGGGCCCGAGGGCGCGCGGCAGGGCGATCCCCAGCTGGAGCTGCACACGCTGGACCTGGGGGCCTACGGGTAGGAGCCCGGGCCCCACGGGGGACCCCGATCACAGGGCACAGGGGGAACGCCAGCTCAGTCCAAGTGGGACATTTCAGGGTGCCCATGGGAGTGAGTGCCCGCAGGAGATTGTCCTTCAGTCTCAGGACAAGTGGCACTTGTGATGTACTGTTTGGCTGTTGGTAGTGACCGGTCCTTGCCACAAATAGTCAGCCTTTTGAACGTAAGGAGCAGCGCCGGATGGTAAAGCTCCCTCCCAGATGCCCCACCCCCGCCCCGCCCCCTACCCGCCCCCCGCTGACCTCTGCCTCTCCTTACTCCCGCCCCCTTCGCAGAGCTCAGGGCGACTGTGACCCCGAGGCGCCCGTGACGGAGACCACCCGCTGCTGCCGCCAGGAGATGTACATTGACCTGCAGGGGATGAAGTGGGCTGAGAACTGGGTCCTGGAGCCCCCGGGCTTCCTGGCCTACGAGTGCGTGGGCGCCTGCCAGCAGCCCCCGCGACCCCTGCCCTTCGAGTGGCCATTTCTGGGCCCGCGGCAGTGCATCGCCTCTGAGACGACCTCGCTGCCCATGATCGTGAGCGTCAAGGAAGGAGGCAGGACCAGGCCCCAGGTGGTCAGCCTGCCCAACATGAGGGTGCAGAAGTGCAGCTGCTCCTGGGACGGGGCGCCCGTGCCCCGGAAGCTGGAGCCTTAGGTTGGGGGCAGAGCCACCCAGGCGTCGGGCTGGACAGGTGCACAGAAACAGGTCTTGACATAGGTGTTATTTCCTCCTTAGCAGGTGACCCCTGGCCCCACTCAGCACCCTGTTCTACCTTTCCTGCAGGTTCTTCCATTTCTTGTCCTCTTCTGCACCATCACCCACCCTAAGCACTTACATGAGTCACTAATGCAGCTCTGACTGCTGAGTTCTAGAAGGAAATCCCAGCCTCCTTGTTATAGGATGCAGCCAGCTCAGACAGACTGCCTGCTGGGAGTTTCTGTGGCAAATTCTCAGCTGACTGTTGTACACGTGCCCTATGATGTGAGCTGGGGAAACAGACTGATTTACTCTACTACATGATGGGAATTACAACAAAACTTTAAGAAATCCCCCAGTTCGGGGCGCCTGGGTGGCTCAGGGGGTTGAGCCTCTGCCTTCGGCTCGGGTCATGATCTCAGGTTCCTGGGATCGAGCCCTGCATCGGGCTCCCTGCTCTGTGGGAAGTCTGCTTCCCCCTCTCTCTCTGCCTGCCTCTCTGCCTGCTGGTGATCTCTGTCTGTCAAATAAATAAATAAAAATCTAAAAAAAAAAAAAAAAAAGAAAAAAAAGAAATCCCCCAGTTTCCCTAGGTAGGGAGGAGGTCTAAAAAAGAACACCCTTTCCCCAAAACGCCGACCCATTCAGGATTCTTGTGAACAAACTCCCCTGAGAGATTGCCAGGAGGGAGGACCAAGGGCTTCCACCTGGGGCAGTGGGCAGGGAGTCAGGACACCTGGTTTCTGGATGGAACAGGGTCACAATTGTGACCTCAAGCCAATGGGGTCACCCTTTCCTCTTAAAAGGGAGAAGGTGGGAATCAGCTCTGAGTCATTGCTCTGGGGGTCAGAGAGCCCTAACCTCTCCCCCGCCTCCACCCCCCAGCATTTCCTGTACATAGTTGCATTATTTCCCCCATGGTTTTAGAATTTTCCCCACCAGAACCCATGTATATTTACTTTTTAAAAATGTAGCCAAAAGAGTTGAGTGTAGATAATCCTCCAAAATAAAGTGACAGTTTGCTTTGTGTTTCTGCATTTAGTTTCTGGTACCCTTTACTTGAGAGAGAAGGGAGCAATGATGGGGACAAGATCTCATAATGACGTGAAGAGAGGGGGTGACCGAGACCCCCAAACACTGCAATAACTAGGTTTAGATTAAGCTTTCATTTATAACACTTAGATTCTCCACCCCCCCCACTCCAAAACCAGTATTGTAAACAATCACTCACACATGCCATCTCTTTGGAAAAAATCCCGCCCCCCCCCCAGCCAGGCAGTGGTTATGGGGACAGGACCTGGGGTGACGATGGTGTGGCAAGCAAGCTAAGCCTTACTGAGCCCTCACTGTAAGCCAGGGTGCTGTGCCAGGCAATTTTATAGAGCTTATGTCACTTAATTCTTGCAATGAATTCCTTGAGGTAGGTATTATGATTCCCATTTTCCAGATGAAGAAATCGAGGCAGGGACAATGCAAAACTGTTGAATCCCTATGCCAAGGCATGGGTTATAACACTCCTTCCCACTGCAGGCCCGCCCCCCTCCCCATAAGTGTGCTCTGCTGAGGACATGGGCGTTAGTGACCAGGTCACCTGGAAGCTGCCACAGCTGGCAGCATCCTTACGTAACCTTTCCAGGCACCTGGGTTTCCCTATGTTTGGCTGTTGAAGTTCTTGGGCTCTGTTTTTACCTACAAAGCTAATTAATAACAATGGACTAGTGGAAGGGAAAATGGAGCCCATCTCTTGACAGGTGGGATCTGAGAACGTGGCAAGTGTACAGTTGGAGGCAGTGGAGAGGACTTGGCGCAGACAGAAAGGCCTAGATCACCCCCATAAGACGTCTGAATTAAGCCCTTCCAGGTGGGATGCTGTGAATACCAGGGCAGACCACTGTTTTCTTTATAAGAAGGGTATCCATACCTTCTAAAGGGTTGCACCAGCTACTCAGTGACCTATCTGTGGCTCTAAAAGGTCTGGGGGCTCCTAGCCGGTCCATTCAATCAGGGGCAAGAGTGGGCCTGCTCCCAGCGTCTCCTGTGATCTAAAAAATCCAGGAGATCGGCCTCATTTCCGAATGGAAGGATGAGTTCCTCTGCACAGGGAGACGGTGTGGTAGGCAAGGTGTTCTCCCCAACACACCCATGCCTCCCTATCCTCTGAGCCTGTGACAGTCATTGTATATTTCAAAGGGGATTTTGCAGTTGTGATTAAGGTTACCGACCTCAAGACAAGGAGATGATCCTGGAGTGACCAGGTACATCTAGTCTCATCACAGGATTCTCTCAAAGCAGAAAACGTTTTCTGCTGGAGGCACAGAGATGAGGTTTTAGGGAAGGCTAATGTGAAGATGTCAGTGCTGGCTGACCCGTGAGCTGGACACAGGTGAGGGAAGCTCTTCAGTCCCTCCCCTGTCCTTGGAATGTGGATTCTGGTTGCCCTTGCCCAGAAGCTGCCCCCAGGACAGCCTTGAGACAGGGATGTGGGGCTGGGACCATCAGGGACGGAACCCTGTTAAGGCCGATCTGAGAACCGTGAGGAGCAGGTGGGCAGAGATCCACCATCTAGCAGGCGCCCAAGACAAGCCTCCTATATAGTTCCCTGTGCTTGTTCAACCCATCTGGAGCTACCTCTTTCCTCCGTCCCTCCCTGTCCACCGTGATGGGTACCTGCTTCAGATCACACCGGGGAGCTCCCAGGAGGAGGAGAACCAACAAGAGGCAGCGAAGGAGGCCAGAAAGAGTTGAACCACGAAAAGGGAGGGACCTGCCATTGCTGCTTTGCAGATGGAGGGGACTGTGAGCGCGGGAATGTGAGGGCCTTCCAGAAGCTGAGAACGACCAAGGAAAGGGGACCTCAGGCTACACCACACAGAGCCAAATTCTGCCAGCAGCCTGACTGCGTCATGGCGCCGATTCTCCCCCAGAGCCTCTAGGGTGGGACCCGGATCGGCTGCCATCTTGATGTGGCCTGTGGGACCCAGAGCAGAGAAACCAGCCGGACCCACCCAGACTTCTCACCTGCGGCATGTGATGCAAAATTCGCAGTGCCTTTCTATGGCAACAGCAGAAATGAAGCTGGTCTGTCAAACCTGCTAGAAGCGAGGTGTAATTACAATGTTTTCACATACAACATGAACACCGTACTTCTTTTAAAAATCAGGTTTAGGGGGGCTCCTGGGTGGCTCAGTGGGTTAAAGCCTCTGCCTTCGGCCCGGGTCATGATTCCAGGGTCCTGGGATGCAGCCCCACATCATCGGGCTCTCTGCTCAGCAGGGAGCCTGCTTCCTCCCTTCTCTCTCTCTGTCTGCCTCTCTGCCTACTTGTGATCTGTCTGTCAAATAAATAAATAAAATCTTTAAAAAAAAATCAGGCTTAGGGGCGCCTGGGTGGCTCAATGGTTGTCTGCCTTGAGCTCAGGTCGTGACCCCAGATTCCTGGGATCAAGCCCCACATCCGGCTCCCTGCTCGGCAGGAAGCCTGCTTCTCCCTCTCCCACTCTCCTTGCTTTTGTTCCCTCTCGCACTGTCTCTCTCTCTGTCAAATAAATTTAAAAAATAAAATAAATAAAAAATAAAATTTATTAAAAAAATTTTTTTAAATCAGGTTTAAGGGCATCTGGGGAGCTCAGTTGGTTAAGTAAGTGTCTGCCTTTGGCCTTCGGCTCAGTTCATGATCTCAGGCTCTCTGCTCTCTGCTCAGTGGGGAGCCTGCTTCCCCCTCTCTCTCTGACTGCCTCTCTGCCTACTTGTGATCTCTCTCTATATATATCAAATAAATAAATAAAATCTTAAAAAAAAAAATCAGGTGTAAGATGTGCCTGGCTTATAGGACAAGGGAGTGTAGTTCCGTTCCAAAGAATCACATTGGATCTCTTTAGGTGCTGGGATTAAAAGCAATATTCATTTTTTCATTTAATCAAATTAAAAAATGTTTCTACAATTAACATGGGTTACTAGTGTAATTAAAAAAAAAAAGAAAAGAAAAAGAAAAATGCATGCAAAATGTGCCTCCCTGGAGAGGTCCCTAAGTCAGGATGGACTGGAGTCAAGAGGACTTGGTGTAGGATTCCCTGGAAGCTGGAAGTGGTTCAGGATCCTCCCTCATTCCCTGGATCACCAGCATTGTTACAACCCTTGAGCCGGCTAATTAGACCAGGAAGGAGGTCTGGCCTTGGGTGGGGAGGGAGGAGTGGAGGTTACCTGGAAAAGGGGAGGCAGAAAAGACAGCATTATCCACTTTTGGAAAGCAGGAGTGGGAGGAACAGGACAGTAGGGAGGGAGTTGGGGGTAGGGCAGCAGCAGCTGACAGAGCTGGAGGAGGAGGGAGAAGGAGAGAGGGGAAGGTGGGCAGTCCAGGAAACTTGGTGAGCTTCCCCTCTTTCCTTCCGGTCTTCTCTTTGCCTGTTCATATGGAGTAAAATGGATAGAGTGGGCCCCAAGGACACCAGTGCTGGACATGGACAGCATGTGTCATGCCAGGTTGGGGCCCTTCTGGGGAGGGGCAGGAAGCAAGGGGGCCCTGCAGCCTCCCAAATGGACTATGGGGAGCCCAGCATCCCTCAGAGGGGCCTATGGGGAGCCCAGCATCCCTCAGAGGGGCCGACAGCATTCAGAAGTTCCCACCCTCCCCGCTGCCTGCTGAAGATTCTTCTACCAGAAAGGAGGGCCAAATGGAAGCAAGTAAAGACCAGAGAAGAGAGGAAGGATGCGGGCAGTGCTGGGGCCCCAGTCCCAGTCCCTACCTCATGCGGGTGCCCCTTCCAGATGGCATGTTCCCCAGTACCTTCCCAAGGGCTGTATGGAAAGTCTCCTTTTCTTCAGCTAGTTTGAACTGTTGAGATGCTGGTGCCATCACAGCCACCACAGGGAGCCTTTAAACATGTGATATCAAGAACATAATCAGAGTGTTAGACAAAGATTTTCCCACAGTAGATGAATGATTTTTTTATTAGTTTACTTTTTTGAAGATTTTATTTATTCATTAGACACAGAGAGAGAGGCATAGGCAGAGGGAGAAGCAGGCTTCTGGCTGAGCAGGAAGCCAGGCACAAGGCTTGATTTCAGGACCCTGGGGTCAAGACCTGAGCAGAAGGCAGATACTTAATCAACTGAGCCACCTAGGCATCCCTGAATAACTTGAAAAACTGATGTGTTTGTGAGGACAGGGACTTTTGTTTTGTTCATGGCTGGACCCCTAGAACCTGGGTCAGTAAACATCTATGGAATGAATCAATAAACCTAATTTTGATCTTTGGAAGAATGGTTAATGTGGGGCAGCCTTAGAATGGAATACTAAGTAGTCACAGAAATCTTGTTTTAAACAACTTTTCAGTGGCATTGGGAAATGCTTATTATATATCTCATGTAGAAGTTTCAAAACTGTATGTATATAATTTATTTCCAAGGTTGGAAAAGTACATATGCACAGACAATAATAATGTAAGGATATCCACTGAAAATGTTTCCAAGAAACTATCCCTAGCAAGTTTGATTATGAGACTATTTTGACCTTGACTTTTTTGGTATTTCCCGCATTTTCCTCAATATGCATGAACTCCTTTTCTAATCAGAAAAAGTTATCAATATATTATTTTGCTTAATAGTGAACATTAAGGGTCGGGGGATGGAGTCATAGGCCTCTTGGTCTTGGCTGGGTCCTACCTGCAGCTGGGGCGCGGAGGGGCTCGAGCACTGGGTTCCGCCGGTCCCAGAAGGACCAGGGTCAGCCACTCACAACTCACCAAATCAAAGGCAGAGAAAGGAGTGGAGATGAAACGGGAAAGGTTTATTTCAGTGAAGCCAAGAGCGGGAAGACAGCCTACTGGCGTCTCACAGACGGTCTCCCAAGTGCTGAAAACATGCAGGTTTGTCATGAGGCCAGTGCAAAGGGACCGAGGTCAGTGGGAGTGCGGGTGGGCAGCAAAGGGCAGGTCCACCATGGTCCTGGGGTCAGTCACGGGCGGCCTTCCCATGGCAAGCTCAGGGCGGTCCGTACTGCCGGTGGGGGTCTCGGGTGTCCTCGCCGGGTTCTTGGCCCCCGGCCGTCTGCGAGAACGTGATTGGAAGGCACATACAGGCGCTCCTTCACGCGGAAGGGGCGGATGCTCCCGAGCGCAGGAAAGGGGCCGATGCTCCCGAGCGCAGGAAAGGGGCCGATCCCCAACCTAGTTAGGACCGATTCTTAGGGGCAGTGCAGGTTCGGGTGGACAGACGGGGCTGCTTCCGAGCCCCCCACCCCGCAGACCGGGAGGGGGTGGGCAGCGGGAGCTCCAGCCGCTCCGAGACTGTCCGAGCCCCCGGCCCCATCCAACCCCGTAGCCCGCGACCTACGGAGGCCTCCCGTCCGGCAGGCCAGACACAACACCAGCGGTCTTCGGCCTGGATCCCCGCCCTGGGCCCCACCGGCTTGGGGAGGCCGAACCCGGTCCCCCGCAGGCCCGCGGGGCGGAGACCCGGGCTGCCTCGCAACCGCAAGTGGTTCCCAGCGCCAATCCCGTGTGCGCGGGGCGGACACACGGCCGGAGTCCCCGGCTGTGGATTGGTCCGCTCGAGATCCCGGCCGAGGATTGGTCCGCCCGGCGGAGGCTTGGTCTGTCCGAAGATTGGTGCTCCGCTCCCGAGTTATCTGCCGCGGATTGGTCCGCCCGAGTTCCCGGCAGAGGCTTCCTCCCCGCTAGGATTGGTGCCTCCTCTCCAGAGCTCGCGCCCATGGATTGGTCCGCCCGGGCTCCCTGCCGCGGACTGGTCGCCCCGGCGAGGTGGGGCGGGGCCCCGTGAGGCCCCGCGGCACCACCTGCCAGGCAGGCAGTGGGGAGGGGTCCCGGGAGTCGGGCCGGAAGCTGCCGGCAGCTCCCTGGGTCTGGCTTCCGGGGCGTGCGGCTCGCTGGGATCTGTCTCTGCCGGGCGTTGTGTGTCCTGCGTCGGCTGCTGGACAGGTTCCCGCCGCAATGAGCGTGGGCTTCATCGGCGCCGGCCAGCTGGCCTGTGCCCTGGCGCGGGGCTTCACGGCCGCAGGTGGGCGTGCGGGGGCGGGCGGGCCGCAGCAGGGTCCGGGGACGCCCTTTGCCACGCGAGCCTAAACTGCCGAGCGTCTTGTGGGCGGGACTGGGCTCGTGGAGCAGCGGGGGCCGCGAGCCCGCGTGGGGCCTCGGTATGGGTCCGCCCTGCCCTCTCGAGGACAGCGCGGGAGCCGGGGGGCTGCGGTGCCGGGCTGACGAGCCTTGTCTTCCGCAGGCATCCTGTCTGCACACAAGATCATAGCCAGCTCTCCGGAAATGGACCTGCCCACTGTGTCCTCGCTCAGGGTAGGGCGGCGCAGGGGCGTGGGGAGCAAGGTGGGGGCCCCGAGGTGAGCCGAACCGTGCCGGTCGCCGGCCCGCGCCAACCTCCGCCCAGGAGCGTCCCTGCCCTCTGGGCCGACTCTCCTGGGCGCTCCCATCTCACCTTTTTACAGCCGGGGGAACTTACCCGGCAGACGGTGCTCGGGTGCCCAGGACTGGTATGGGAGGTATGGGAGGCAGCCACGTCCCGCTTGCCTTGGGGAAGCTTGTGCCTGCCCAGCACCTAGCTCACTTGTCCAGTAGCAACTGGGGAAGACTTCGTGCCACGGTGGCGCATAGAGGGCGTAGGTGCAGACCCTGGAGGGACAGGGCAGGGAATTCAAGGCTGCCCCAGGCAGAGTGCATCTGCTCCTGGGCTGGAGGGTGGCCTGGGCCAAGTAAGGCTGCCTGGCTCTGTGAGCTGGGCAGTCTCCTCCTACAGAAGATGGGCGTGAACCTGACCCGAAGCAACAAGGAGACCGTGAGGCACAGTGATGTCCTGTTCCTCGCTGTGAAGCCGCACATTATCCCCTTCATCCTGGACGAGATCGGGGCGGACGTCCAGGCCAGGCACATCGTGGTGTCCTGTGCTGCTGGAGTCACCATCAGCTCTGTGGAAAAGGTGCCCATCTCACCTTGGTGCCCTGGTGCCCTAGTGCCCCTGTGAGGTGGTGCTTGTTTGGGGGGCTGGGGGGCGCGGGTGGATGGCAAACCCTGGTGACTCACTTGGGTCTTCTCCTCATCCCAGAAGTTGATGGCCTTCCAGCCGGCCCCCAAGGTGATTCGCTGCATGACCAACACACCGGTGGTGGTGCGGGAGGGCGCCACAGTGTACGCCACAGGCACCCACGCCCTGGTGGAGGATGGGCAGCTCCTGGAGCAGCTCATGAGCAGCGTGGGCTTCTGCACGGAGGTGGAAGAGGACCTGATTGATGCCGTCACGGGGCTCAGTGGCAGTGGACCTGCCTATGTGAGACCTTGTGGGGACCTAGGGCAGTGGGATGGGCTGGCAGGCAGATTGGGGCTGTGGGTGCTGCCCACGCTGGGGCAAAGCTAGCTGATGGAGGGGGCTAGCCTCTGGAGCTAGTTCTGGTTGTCAGGGAGAGCAGACTGCAGGGAGCGGCCCTGAGTGTCTGCTGCCCCAGGACTCAGTGAGTGTCTCCACAGGCATTCATGGCTCTGGACGCCTTGGCTGATGGTGGGGTGAAGATGGGCCTGCCTCGGCGCCTGGCGGTGCGCCTGGGGGCGCAGGCCTTGCTGGTCAGTATACTCACCCTGCGTGTTCCAGACTGGGGTGTGGGATGGGGAAGGTCCCTGAGCTGGATAGTGGCTGGGGAAGGGCAGGGGGTTGTGGAGAAGCCTGTCCTAAGGTGCCCAAGCTGTTTTCTCTCATCCTTCCTGCTTCCCTCAGGGGGCCGCCAAGATGCTGCTGGACTCGGAGCAGCACCCAGGTCAGCTCAAGGACAACGTCTGCTCCCCTGGAGGGGCCACCATCCATGCCCTGCACTTCCTAGAGAGTGGTGGCTTCCGCTCCCTGCTCATCAATGCCGTGGAGGCCTCCTGCATCCGCACACGGTGAGTCGCTCCCCCTCCGTGCCCCCGGGCTGGGCCCCGTCCCGTGGAGCCTGCCGTCTCTGTCCCTCGGCAGTGTTGGACTCTGTCCATAAGCAGGGGTTATTGGATTCTGTCTCGCTGAGGGTTTTGCAGGCCTTTCTACGTTTAACACTCACCACAGTTCCCGTGGGGGCGGGGAGCTTGCATTTACAGAAGAGGAGATTATGGCCTAGAAAGGCCTCGCTGGTACATAGTGGAGGCGCGGCTGCACAAGTGTGTGACTCCAGACCCGCCAACTGTTCCGTCCATGCTGTGTGTCCTTGTGATATCACCGATAGCATGTGGAACTACACATGTGTGGTCACTCACACATAGCTCGGGGGGCGCGTTTGATTTGGGATTCTAATTTTGCGCGGTGTCCATTCCTCGAGACTTGGGGGTTACATGCACGGGGAAGCCATGTGGAGCTCTGGCTTGTCCTTCAACCCCTGGGGGGCTTTGTTGGCAGAGAGCTGCAGTCCATGGCTGACCAAGAGAAGGTCTCCCCTGCTGCCCTCAAGAAGACTCTCCTGGACAGAGTGAAGCTGGAATCCCCCACAGTGTCCACGCTGACCCATTCCAGCCCGGGGAAGCTGCTCACAAGAAGCCCGGCTCCTGGGGGCAAGAAGGAGTGAGGTGGCCTCTGCCCTCCTTCCTGGAACCAGAGCCCAGAGGAGGACCGTGCAGTGGGAGGGCAGGTCCGCAGTTTTCAGGTCCTTATGGTAAAACCTCCTTAAATCTGTTCAGACCTGGCTGCGCTAGTTTCCCGTCTTGTCCACGTCAGAAGATGCTCCCGGGGTGGGTGATGGTGGCGGCCGGAGGCAGGCCTGCGCACCTGTTGCCGGAGAGAGAGGCTGTGACTCCAGTCAGAGCCCCACTGGCTGCAAGGTCTGGAGACCTTCAGCTGGGGTCCTCCGTCCGGAGATCGAGCCAGGGTCCGCTTGACGCCGGGTGAGGGCGGAGAGAGGTACGGAACGTGACAAGGGCTTTTCTCTCTGGCTTATAAATGCAAAAGAATCAGGCAACTTAGAATTGTTACACTTAATCAGAAAAGCACGAAATTAGACCATGCTTCTGTTTAACTCTTACTTCCCTAGGTGTCCTGTTGGAAAAGCGTTACTCAGCGCTGTTAAGTTTAGCTGCTTCAATAAAAGTTTTATTTTTTATTACCCTGCCTTTTTTTTTTTTTTTTTTTTAAAGTAAGCTCTGGGGGCACCTGGCTGGCTCAGTGGGTTGAGCTGCTGCCTTCGGCTCGGGTCATGGTCTCGGGGTCCTGGGATCGAGCCCCGCATCGGGCTGTCTGCTCGGTGGGGAGCCTGCTTCCCCCTCTCTCTCTGCCTGCCTCTCTGCCTGCTTGTGATCCTTCTCTGTGTCAAATAAATAAATAGAATCTTTAAAAATAAATAAATAAGTAAATAAAATAAAGTAAGCTCTGTTCCCAATGTGGGGCTTCAACCCACAACCCGGAGATCAGGAGTCCCTTGAGCTTCGCCTTACTCTGCCCAGTTTTTCAATCCTTAGATTTCCTATAAAGGGTGTGCAGAGCCATGTGGCGGGGGCTTTACGATAGCTTTGCGTGGGGCTGAATTTGTCACTGGCCCCGCAGGGACGAGCCTCGCCCACAGGCTCCCAGGTTTGGAGTTGGGGAGCCCAGGCTGCTGCTGCCGCTGGTAGGGGAAGGATGAGCACCACTTGCTTGAGGGGTCCGCCGTGTTCTAGATGTTCTGTTGAGCCATTCCATAAGGTCTTGCTGCAAACCCACCAGAACCTTCTGATGGAGGGGGATCCTATATATAGGGGGTGAAATCTAGAGACCAAATTCAGTAACTTCTCCAAGGTTCCCAAGCTGTAAGTGGCAGAAACTAGCGCTCTTGTGATAAGCACAGGACAGCGTCTGGAAGTGCTTAGTGACCATATTGTATGCCTGAAACTAATGCCATCTGTTAACTGGCTGGACTTAAGATCTTAAAAAAATAAATCCACTAGCAAATTGTGGGGAAAAAAGTGGCCAAGACTCAGATTTAAACCCAGAGATGAGGCTGATGGCAATGCCACAGGCAGCGAGTTCTTGGGGGCAAGCGGGAGGCACCCTGGCCCGTGGAGGAAGGCCTGTAGGCTCTGTCCCGCTATGTGCACGGCATACCCGACTTCGGCCCCACTTGTGAGCAGCAGCTCAATGTGCTAAGCTGCTTGGCCCCTCCAGGCCTCAGCATCTTCGACCAAGTGAGGGGAGGAGTGCTCAGAGGTCAGTCTGTCTGGATCCAAAGCCTGGCAGGTGCATGGCCGACAACAAAGCTGATGGCTTCCTCCTCTGTGTCTGTGCAGCTGCCTTATCCTCTTGGGTTGCCCATCTTCTCACCTGGGGTGGGGGAGGGGGATTCCTGGGGCTGGGACCGGGGCTGCAGGTGGTCAGAGCCAGGGGCCAGGGACTCCCTGTAAGGTCAAGGGAGCCCCCCGAGTATCAGGCCCTGGCCAGGTAGAGAGCCTGTGGCCTGAGCCTCCTGGAGGACACCCGATTGCTGGCTGCAACCCTTTCAGAATCTAGAGCTGGCGTTCAAGGCCAGTGCAGCCTCTCCATTAAGTACGTGCGGAAGACTCCCTCTGCCAAGTGCCTGTGAGGCCTGGGAGCCCTCTGGTCATCAAGACTCTCCTCGCTCAGAGCTGCACAGAGGCCGAGGACAGACATGGACACAGGACCTGTAGAGAACAGGGCAGAGAGGGCTGAGGGAGTGAGAGGAAGGGAGGGTGTAATCAGGGCCCTGCCCTGTGCCCACATCCCCAGCCCGCCAGGATTCTTGGAGCACCGGGGCCTAGAGTGGGCCTCAATCTCCACGTCACAGCTGGCTTCTCTCGGGACCCCCAGAACTGCCTTTGCTGCTACCCCGATGCCGCTGTCCCATAAAATGGGGCATCAACCTCGGCCCCAACGGTTACCAATAGTTACCCTGGGAAGTGGAGCTGAGCTGGTTCTCACTTGATTTTCTTTCTTTTACTTTAGATCATTGCTGGCAATATTCAGGCCCCCCCTCCATAGTGAAAGGATTAAAAAATGGGGGCACCTTAGGGGTGCTCAGTCGGTTAAGTATCCAACTCTTGGTTGCAGCTTAGGTCATGATCTCATGGTTGGGAAATCCAGCCCCGTGCTGGGCATGGAGCCTGCGTGAGATTCTCTCTCACTCTTCCTCTTCCTGTGCACCCCCCAAATAAATAAATCTTTAAAAAAAAAAAGATTAAAAAATGTTTGCGCTATTCCCTGCTTCTCCTGGCGGGCCCTGTGTGTGTGACTGTTACTAGGTAGCGCGCTCCCTGGCTTTCAGAGGGACCCTGGAGACCCTGACTGTGCTTCCTTCACTGGTCCAGCGGGTATAGACAGGCCTCTCTGCTGTCTAATCAAATCACTTCAAAGCCTTGACCTGTTCTCCCCTTTTACCAACAAACCTGAACATAGACAACAATATGTATGGTGAGTCTGCGGAATCCAGAGCATTGAGAAAACAGAACGCCCTTCTTTTCTTTTCAAGGTCTGAGCCAGTGAGGAGGGCACACTACCTTTATGAAAGACAGGGGACTATGACATTGGATGAAGAAGCTCCAGAAGGGTGCACAAGACACCGATGAGAGCGGTACTCGGGGTGGGGACGGCAGGAAGGCAGGGACAGGACAAAGATATTTCATTAGAAATGTTTTCCCACTGCCCTGACTTAGGAATCACTCATCACCAAATATATTTTGCAAACTTTTTAAAAAATATTTTATTTATTTATTTTATAGACAGAGATCGCAAGGAGGCAGAGAGGCAGGCAGAGAGAGAGGAAGGGAAGCAGGCTCCCTGCCAAGCAGAGAGCCCAATGCGGGGCTCGATCCCAGGACCCTGGGATCATGACCTGAGCCGAAGGCAGAGGCTTTAACCCACTGAGCCACCCAGGCGTCCCATATTTTGCAAACTTTTAGGGGGCTGCCAGGCTGCCTGGGCCGTGCGGTGCCCCAGCAGGATGCATTGCCCTGGGTGGCCCGCCAGGGCTGGGGTGTGTCCTGTACGCCCTGCTCTGGCCATGGGAGTGGCTCCCTCTGCCAAAGTGGACAGAGAGGTCCTCTGTCTCTTATCTCCACTTACACCCACCTTCTGTGCTGCTAGCCTCCAGAATGAACTAATCATCTGTCTTTCTGTCTGTCTTCCCCCAGCAGCTGGGGTGCTGCCTGGGGACAGGGGAAGGCTGGGGCTGTAGACCACACCCGTGGTTCTGGGGCTTCACACTCAGGAAACGCAGCGGAATAAATGCAGGCAGGCACGGATGAATGAATGAATGCATGACAGCTCTTCTGCGTATGTGGAGGGCTGGGCTTTTTCTTGCCACAGCTCAGGTCAGGAGGCATATGGTTTGTTGGGGTAGAGGCCCTGTGCATCTGCTAGCCTGTCTTTGGACCTGGTATTTCACTGTTGGTAGGTTCCCACGTGCTTGGGTTCGACCAGCAAGTGTTTCCTGAGCACTACTAGAATGCCAGGCTCGTGCTCAGCTGGCTGGGGTGTGCGGAACACTTAGTGAATTTCTGTTGGGGCCACTCTGTCTGGCAGCTTCTTCTATGGAGGGGGTGCCTCCCTTTTGGCATCAGAGCCTTTCCTATGGCGTGGGACTCCTTCACGTAGGAGGGAAGCACGTCAGGAACATCTATATAAAGAGGGATTGGGGTGGAAACAGACTTCAAAGCAGTTTTCAACTTGGGCGCCTGGGCTGCTGTCGGTTAAACATCCAACTCTTGGTTTCAGCTCGTATTGTGATCTGAGGGTCGTGAGATTGAACCCCGGGTGGGGTTCTGTGCTCAGTGTGGATTCTGCTGGAGATTCTCGCTCCCTCTGCTGACCCCCCAACTCATGCTCTCTAAAGCAATCAATCAGTCAATCTTAAAAAAAATTAGGATTGGGGTGGAAATCAATTTCAAAGCAGTTTCCCGTTTTAGGAGGGATTACATGGATAAATGTCTTCTCCCCCTTGAGCACCACTGACCAGAAATGCACTTGGTGGGCTGGAGAGAGGTGTGGTTGGATGTCAGAGACTTTCCCATGCATTGGGGTGCTTCAAGGGTGGGTGCCCCGGAAAACCTGAGAAATCGGCCTCTGGTGTGACAAAGTCATTTTCAGTGGGTGTGTGGGGCCTCTCGCTTACGGGTCCCCCTTGAGTTCTAAGATATGTGCATTTTCCACTGGATTTTCACATGTAAGATCTTGTTGGTGGAATCACAGCAAACATTGTTTCCTTTCTGCCATCTTAGTAAATTTTGGCTATGCGGAAGGCAAAGACCTGGGCTCCGGTGCTCACTGGTCAGGTGACCTCAGGCAAGTCATTAGTCTGTTTCGATTTCAATTGATTATTATGTCCTTAAAACAGAAAAACAGCACTAATTGCCCATCCTTCTCTGGGGTGGTGACCACGGTAGGTGAGGCACAGCCTGCCAGGCCTTCAGCAGGTGACAGCTCTGCGTGACGCGGTCTCCACTGTTTCCGCAGCCCCTGGCGCTCTGTGCTGAGACTCCTTGTCTACAGCTCCTCCTCTGCAACCTAAACCTCGCACACGGTCTGAAGCGACTACGTGCTGGGCCCAGGATTACGTCTGCAAGACCCATGATCTTCTTTCTTCTTTAAGAATCATGATGGGCTGGGGGCACCTGCGGGGCTCAGTCGGTGAGGCATCTGCCTTCAGCTCAGGTCATGATCTCAGGGTCCTGGGATCGAGCCCTGCGTCAGGCTCCGAGCTCAGTGCAGAGGCGGCTTGGGATTCTCTCTCTCTCTCTGCCCCTCTAACTCATGCACTCTCTCCCTCTTTCTCTAAAATGAATAAATAAATCTTTAAAATATATAGGTTATTCAATTCATTTAAACTGAAGAAAAAGTTCATCCATTTCTTCCACCCCACACCCCCACCTCTGACAACCACCAATTTAGTCTCTGTGTCTATGATCTCGCTTGTTGCTCACAGACAAGAGAAATCTTCCGGTATTTGCCTTTCTATGTCTGACTTAACTTGACTTAGGATAACACCCTTGAAGTCCATCCACGATGGCAAGATTTCCTTCTTTTTTAGCTGAGTGGTGTTCCATTATATTTATCCCACATCTTCTTTATCCATTTGTCTGTCGATGAGTGGATTCTTTTTTTTTTTTTTTAAGATTTTACCTATT